TTATGAAAAATCAACTTTTATTATCTTTATATTATTTTATAATGTTTTTATATATATATATATATATATATATATATATATATATATGATTGTTTCCTCAATTCTTTCATGCATGTTTGAGAAATCTTTTAATCTGTGTAAGATACCTGGGTGGACCTAGCTCCGCCTTCAAAATGCAGCTCCTCCTCAGATCTGCAGTTTCCATGTTTCGAGCTTCCGCCTCACAGAGCAGCCCTCTCCCACAACTCCCCCGCTCAGGTCCTTCAGACTAGCCAACAGCAATTAGCAAACACCTGGTAGAACTCTGCATTATAAGAGCTACTTTTTAGTGAAATGGTGATAAAAAAAACATTGTTTTGATGACTTCCCGAAGGCAGAGTGTAGGGAAGATCAGGACTTTCTTAAAGAGACAGAAGCCCAATTACAAGGCATTAAATTGTAAAGTCAATTTTTTAAGTCATATTTGATATATGTGGCATTTTCATAACAACTGAAGCTTGGTTGTGCTAGAAAGTGAGACTTTGTGCCTGGAGAATACATAATACTGACCTTTTAAGAACACTATTTGACCTCATCTAAATGAACATCTTCTCGTCACTGAATGCCATCTTTGCAAAAACAGGTGTTTTTTTTAGCCTTGATTTAAAGGAACTTGGTGTTTTCAGCTGTTTTACAAATTTTTTGTTAGTTTGTTCCAGGTTTGTGGTGCATAGAAGCTGAATTCTGCTTTTCTATGTTTGGTCCTCGGAATGCAGCAGAGCAGACCAGAACCAGAAGACCCGAGAGGTCTGGAAGGTTGATACAACATCTTTAATGTAATTTGGGGCTAAGCCGTTCAGTGATTTGTAAACTAACAGAAGCGTTTTAAAGTCTGTTCTCTGGGTGATGTACTCTTCATTCCTGTTGTTGGTGAGAACACCAACAGCAGTGTTCTTATTCACATGTACATTCATAGATATGTATTGTACACCTCTGCCCAGGCAGAGTGAAAATTTCAGTGGCATGTTTTTGCTGTGAGAAACTCCAGAACCAAATTGATCTGATCAGTGCACAGTTACAGCTGCCAGAGAACAAAATGACCAAAATCTATCTAGCCTTTGTAAATGATCCTCATTTCATTTAATGTCTGTTATCTAAACTCTAGTGGCTCCAATAAATCAGAAATCACCCTGAATGTGTGGCCCATTAGTGGAGTTGATGAGCCTTAGAGAGGCCAGTTGTGTCTGTGGGCACATCAGCAACACACTCGGTGCTCTAAGGCCGTCGATCCAACCTGCAGGCGTTTTCATCTGCTTCGTGTTTGAGCGGTGGTGTCGGACTGGGAGAGCAAAGAATGAGAAACAGCACTGGTGACAGATGATAGAGGCAGTCAGTACACTGCTCATCTTTTTTGGCATGAGCCCTCAAGGACAATCCATACCAGGAACTCTCGTTTGAATGCCCGACAAAGTTTGTAGGCTTTTTTTGCATAATGTAAACGAACAGTTCTGGGAGATTGTCACGCTTAGAAATTTAGAATACCATTTCTCTGCTGTCGAGCTATTTTCTTATTAAAATAGTTTCCACAATCTGAGCTTCTGTCCCCATCTCTTTTTTGGCCTATTAGCTGCCGATAGCTTATTGGCTAGAGATGATTTAGTTGCTTTTAAAAGTTAATGACTCAAGTACTTCTTACTGGAGAATGTTGTGACATTGCGGTGTTTCGCCGTCAGGGTGCGAGTGGACCAGTTGTCAGAGCAGGAATCTGGATAGCGACATGAAAGCAGAGCTGCACAATGTGACTGGATGTGAAGAATGCAGGCAGCAGGAAAGACAGACCGCGACGAGCACTGGTCGGGAGGATGCCTCTTCCGGATGAAGGTCCGGAAGAGGCTGCCAGGAGACGAAACGCGTACAGACTTGATCATATACAGAGTGAAGGATTTCAGGAAATGTGAGGAATAGGAACAGAACTTTGCTTCTCAGTCACACTGTGGCAACACGTAGGGGAGTTGACAATCCGGTGAGCAGCGGGCGGCAGTGTGTGGGTATTTATACTGCAGAGGCTTGATGAATGAAGGCTCCCAGGTGTGCGGGCGGAAAAAGAGACACTAGAACGTTATGGCTCTTATTTACTCACACACTGTCACACAGAAAACATGGGGGTGGATAAACAAGAGACCGACCTGACATGTAGGAAGAAGGAAACGAAGGCATGGGCCTCCCGGAATAGGTCCACTCCCAGTTACAGTATGTCAGGGAAATACTGCAGGTTAAAGTTGTTTGGCACATATAGCAGGTTGGGCTGCAGAGGGTAGAGCTGCTGCCTTGCATCAAGAAGGTCCTGCATGTCATTTGTATGATCTCTCTGGGTACTCTACTTCTTTCCACAGCCCATAAATATGACATTTAGGTCAACTGGTTCCTCTAAGTTGACCTTATATATGAGTTTGTATGCATTATTGTGTCTCTGTACCTGTGTTTCCATTACAAATGTGCAGAAAACTTTGTCTATTCCTCTAATGTAAAAAACTCCACACTTTTGCAATTGCTGTTTCCATTAAATAAGAAACATAATCAAAATCACATGTGAATAAGTTTGTTCACATGATAAGTCACTAAAAAAAACACGCCTCACCTACCACTTCTTTTTCTGTCAGTAGTAACATCCGGTTGTGGACTCGGTGGTGTAAAAAAAAAGTGTTTCTATTTCAGTTTTTTTTTTAAATACTCTAATTTCGATAGTCAAAAAATCACTTCAGACTAGTGCAAAACATTTTATTAAAAATGTGAGTTGTGCTTCCATTAAGTGAATTTATTTTCATAATTCCAATTTACACAATTGTATGGTGAATGGAAAAGCAGCCTGTGTTCAACTGGTAGCCTGTCCAGGGTGTCCCTCCCTCCTGGCTAATGGCTGCTGGAGGTGGACAACCCTGCACAAATAAGAGGGTATGGACAAGGATAAAGATAAAAAAGATTGATCTTTTCCAAGATCTTCTTTAAGCGAAAAACATGTTATTTTTCAATTTTTTTTAAAGATTAAAAGATCAAAAGAACCTTAATTAGTGAGATCTTATTCTTTCTCTCTTTCTCCTTTTCTGTCCAACAGCTGTGACTATAACTCCAAAGCTGCGACAGTTGGAGTTCAGCATTGGTAAGTATCTAATCTTGCAAAATGTTATACTTTTACATAACATGCATTATGTGAACACATACTAGCTGGGGTGTCTAAAGTGTGGCCTTATGTCGCCTGTCGGCACATGCTGATTGTGCTGAGGAAAGATTTTTACTGACATGTAAAACTCTTCTAACAATGGAAAATGTTTGGTAGTATGACACCGAGAAGTATCTGTTTTTTAAAAACCACACTTTGTGCTTTTCTGATGTCACATTAAGTAGGACCAAAAATATACTGTGACTTTAACTCATAAGAAACTTGACTAAGAAAGAATCACTCGTATGCAAAGAACAATTTATTGACCAACAAAATGAAAAACAATTGACAAGCAATTAGGAAGCAATATGCAGTTTAATGAGGCACATTTGTGAGGCACTTTGTGTTCAATTTACAACGATTTGCAGATCTGTTTCCTATAAAAATACAACTGCTGCATGAGGCAAATGATGGTAGCATTTTCATGAACTGTCTCCTGCATGTACCAGTGTGAAGTGGTAGTTTAGAAGATGATTCAGGAGCATCAACATGAAGTTGCTTTGGTGGTTTTGTGGCTGGATGCTAGTGAGGCCCGAGATCTTATCGTTGCCATTGTTCTCGCTCTAAAGGAGTTATTCTTAATTTGCTGTGATCCAGAGGGACCTGAAGAACGTCGAGTAATCCTGAACTTGTGTCAACGAGTCCTTTACAGCTCACAAGTTGGAGTGTCTGTTTTTAAAGTGACTTGTTTGTTTTATCAACTTTATGTCAAAGCTTCAGCTGCTTGTCTTTTTGTAACAGCTATAAAATGCATTACAGAGCATTTTGTTTTCTAAGCCCCTGGTATCTAAGGAGGGAATCTTATGCATGTGTTTGAGTTTTTTCCAGTTCTTATTAAAACTCTGGGCTCGTATTTGTGAAAGAGCTGCAGCTGTTCCATATTCCACGGGGGTGAAAAATTAGTATAATGGGTCTTAACTGTTTTCACTTTGTGTGGGAGTGGCAGCAAACCTCCCCAGTAACAAACAGCCAATTAACATTTAATGAGATAACTGTAGGAAAACACATTTTTTACTGGAACAATGCTTTGCTTTGCTTTGCTGTGATAATTAAAAAGGAGTTGTTCCAGTTTTGCATATAAATTTCAGCTTATTTGTCATAAAAAACCTTGTCTGTCTAAATGGAAACAAACTGAAAGAAGTCTTTTTAAAATAACTTTGATCACATTCTGTTCGTTTTTACAATTTAAATGACACCATTTATTAAAAAAATAAAAATAAATTGTCTTACTTTTACTTTGCTTTTAACCATTTTCTGTTTGAGTCCCATTTGTAGTGTAGTGTAAAACTAAACGGCTTTGCTGTCCATTTTAAAGCAGATACAAAGTTAAAATAATGCTAATTTAGCTAGTGATACATCTTTGAATTGCCTTTGTGGAAGTTAACTTCAGTTTAGCTGAAACCTTTGGAAGTAAATACAGATTTAAATGAATAAATGAGACATTCTGCACATTTTACTTGTTTGTGAAACGTTCTGTTTCTAATAGTTACAGATTTGTCAAGCAGAATGCCTAAAATAACTCTTGGAACAAACTTGATTGAAGTTGAAATCTATTCACGTGTCTTCGGTTCAAAGAAAAGGTTCAATCAAAAAAAGGAACAGTTTTCTGCAGAACAGTCTTTAGGCCATTAAAATATGGTCAAAACATCTAAGACTTGGTGATTTTTAAAAATAAAACATGTTTTTCTTAATGCAATATAGTTATGTCTAAACATTTTTAATAAAAACAGTTTTTAACAATGACGAAGTTTTTTAAGACGTACTGGTTTTACACTGAGAAAAAACTCCATCCATCCATCCATCC